TTGCCCCCGACGTATATATACGTCTTTCAAAAGTACGATTTTCTCTGTGCACTGTTATCCATAAAATTACTCTGAAGGCTTTGGAATGCAATAAATGGACCTTGTCAGTGATTGCGAAGGATTTACTTATTTCAGAGAATTTCCTTATTTAATTCTCCCCCTCCCCCCATACGCTCTCTTACGTAGAAAATGGTTGCACTGGGGAGCGAACCACGTAACTTTTAATCGGTAGATAAGGGATTAATTATAAACCCTACAAATTATCAAGATAAGTGTTAATTTTTGTATATAATTTTATATCTGACAAGCCCATGGGGGCACTGGTAGTCATCAACCTAGTTCTAAACTTAGTATTGTTAAATCAATTATAAAATACATTGCACAGTACTGATACATTTATGTATTACATCCAATTATTATTATGTAACAACGTTACTTTTAATGCTTGTTATGTCAGAATGTATTTTGTTTGTTTACTTTCAGTAAATTAATAATGTTTTTAAATAATCTTTTGTTTTCGATATGCTCGCACCCCCGTCGTAGAGTTATCACGCACCCTTGTGGGGGGGGACACCCTACAGTTTGAGAAACGCTGACCAAATTATTAAAAAAGGTGGGCAGGGCTACAGGCCTACAGGCCTTTCCACAAATTTTACAAAGTTATGGTAACTTATTTAGTACCAGCTAAGGGAAATTGCTACACATTCTATGGCGAAACTATTGTTAAAATTCGCCAAAGGTTACCAGTGGCATGGAGTTGAGAAATAAATACAAAAACAATATTCAAGTATTAAATTTAGTAATTTCACATACATAACTTTTTAACTATTTATTTTTTTAAAAAAAAATTCTTTATTTAACTATGTTTTCAACTTATGTCATCATTCTCATATTTGCAAAGTACATATTCGCTACTCTTATGTATATATATATATGTATATATATATATATATATATATATATATATATATATATATATATATATATATATATATATATATATATATATATATATATATATATATATATATATAAGAAAAACCCTTTAACAAGTGAAAAAATTTATGAAATTTAAAAACCATATATATATGGTTTTAAATTTCATAAAAATGTTCTCACTTTTTAAAGGGTTTGGTTGTTTGTTTGTTTTTCTCTTTTTCGTCTTTATATATAATAGTTGAATGGACAAAAAAAATTTTCATCAGAAATTTCTATACCCAATTTGAAGTCTGACTAAAATAAACATACCATCATCAATTATTCATTTTTTCACAGTCTTTGTAAATCAATTTTTTTTCTTTTCGCTAGTGATTTGAGTAAAATTAAAAAGCTTCAGAAAGACATCAAAGCAAAAACTTGAAAGAATTACGTACTCAAATTTTTTGTAAAAAGTATTTGCTACTGAATTTATAAAATAGCAATACTCAAGAAACTTCAAAGCTTTAAAAAGAATAAATTGAAAATCATCCAGAGCGTTAATTTTAAATAAGTATCAGTAGTATATTTAATACATGTTTCCCCAAACATTTCAACATTCATTGTCTAAGTGTATTTGAAATTACTTTATATTTTATGACATTTCAAAGAAAATAAGGAAATCCAAATATTTTATATAAACACACACACACATGCTAAACCAACTTTCATGTTTATTCAATTCCTACTATTAGCTCACACTCTCTCTCTATATATTTATCTTGGTGAATTTTCAATCGATAATAAAATACATTTTAAAACGCTCAGTTGATCTGAAATTTTACATACATGATTATTTTGGATGACAATACAATAATTTAACTATAATTAAGAAAAATTAATTGATTAAAACTAATTATTTAAAGGATTACAAATGCAGCCACATTGGTGACTTAGCGACCCTTTTGGCGACTTGTGTCAAAACTTGAAAAAGTTTTTTCTCACGTTTTAAGGCATTCAGTTGAACTGAAATTTTATATACACGATTGTTTTGGATGAAATTACGATACTTTAATGATAATTAATTACTAAATGTGTTGCGTATCTGTTACAGTTTTGTGACAATTAATATATACATATTTATATTAATTGTAACTATTTAATAAAAAGTAACTAAAATAAAAATTTTCTTTGTTGATCTAAGTAGGAATTGACTTAATTTTTTTTTATATTACTTGTGTGTGTTTTTATTTCCACTTCTACTATACGAGCGTAGTTTTTTCCATAGCAGCTTTACATTTCAAGTTATTTTAAAGTTCTTTTTCAAAAATGCTAATTTAACAAGTAATATAAAAAAAATTAAGTCAATTCCTACTTAGACCAACGAAGAAAAATTTTATTTCAATTACTTTTTTATTAAATAGTTACAATTAATAACAACGGACGGAAAACGGAGATTAACCTGTATAGTATTTTTTTTTCTGTCTTTTATATCCTACATATCAATAAATTTGTAAATTTTACTTTCTTAAACGCGAAGACCTCGGTCAGCTGTACAGCGTTGTTTACATCGGAATGATTTGTCACAATATGTTTCTAATGCGCGTTATTCCCTTACAGAATTTGTAAACCTTAGGTATATATCCTTGTAATTGAGTCTACACATTAGGCTTACCAAATTTACTATGCAATACATAAAGTGAGGATGACATGATACATATAAGTAGAACAAGATCATGTATAATGCACTGGAATAAGACACCGCTAGGAAGTCCTAAAATAGATATATTTCGAACGATCTAATACGTTATTTAGCTAAGGACGCCTTAATAGCTGCAAGGTTCGGTTCAGATATTTAGCAATTAGCTCTGTGATTGGTCGATACATTACGTGTCAAGGAAAATCTTAAATATATATGGTTTGGAGGGGGGGATTCCCGATTTCACCTCAAGTCCAATAATTCAAACAGCTTCAGATTTTAGACATTCAGATTGTCAAATGCATTAATTGATTGATCGTGTTTTAAGGTAAACCTTTGGGCATTCAAACTTTCAATATTTGCGACCCAATATTTAATCGTAATTTTCACTGCGCCCCCTCTCCCCTCCATAAAAAAAACAAAATGGATTGAATTAAAAAAAAACTATGTCTTGTGTGACGCTAAACCTACAATACAACTTTAACCTCCTAAGTACCGCCGAATTAATCTTTAATTGCTCCGGACGTATGTATACGTTTTTTCGAAGTAAGATCTTTTCTGTATACTGCTATCTATAAAATTATTCCGAAAGCTTTGGAATGCAATTAAATGACCCTGATAGTGTCTGCGAAGAATTTACTTGTTTCTCAGAGGATTCGCTTATTTATTACTTTTCTACCCTCTCACCCCCCACATTCGCTCGCCTACGTGTTAACGGTTTCATTGGGGAGTGAATCGCGTATTTTTAATCGTCATTTCGGGATTAATTTTAAACCACGCAAATTATCAAGATAATTGTAAATTTTTGTATAGAAATGTATAAATGACAAACCCATAGGATCACTGGTAATTATTAAATTTGTTCTTAACTTAGCATTGTTAAATTAATTATAAAATACACATGGCGCAGTACTCATTTATAAGTGTATTATGTTAGAGTAATTGTGTATTTTATTTTTTAAATGTCAGAATGTATTATGTTTGTTTACACACACACTTTCAGTAAATTAATAATATGTTTTAATATTCTTTTATTTTCGACTTTTTAATATGCTCGTACCCCTCCCCCATGTAGGGTTATCCCGCCCCCTAAGGGGAGCTCCCCACAGTTTGAGAAACGCTGCCTTAGGAGCAACAGGAGAGCTATTGGTGATAAACCTCGCAATTTCGACTACGGTCAGGTGATGAGAACGACACTTGCTTTGCTTCTCGCTCTCCAGATTTCACTCCATGCCAACGTGAGGGCTTTGAAACTCGACATATTTCACGCACATTAATTCTTTATTCGATGGATACTTAATGGCAATAGGACTCTAACCCAGAACTCGTCAATCAATGCCCACCAGAACCTCGCGATTACGGTCACTTTGTTTACCTTTGCCCACTGGCATAGCTAGTTCTAAGTGAGCCCTGTATCAAAATTCCTTCGGGGCCCTTTTTTAGATATGAAAATCCTGCTTTTGGGACTGTAGTTACAAATGTCGGGGCCTCGTATCTTCGATACTGTGGCAGCTAAGCCCCTGCCTTGGCCACGTAAAATGCAAAAAACTAAGATGAATAGACTAGTTAAAACCAAGAAAAATTTATTATTTTTGTTATTGTTTTTCCCCCTTTTTAGATACAAATATTTCAACAAACTATATGTCGCATATCTAGGGGTTTCGCGTCAGACTGACCACCTGATCGGAACATTTGCTCATGCACCTCAGGGCCCATCTGAGTTGGGCACAGTAGGATTTGGCCATCATGAGCTGTCGCGCCATTGAGTTAAGTTTATAAGTAGCGTATTCTTTATTTCATAGCATATTATCATCAAAAAAATGTATCTGACTCTAATTGTTGTCTAAATATTTTATGTGCTACATAAGAAATCAAGTAAAATTTTAAACCGAGACAGTTTAGTCGAAAACGATTTCTATAATTACTTAAATATTTTTTTTAAAAAAAAAGTAAAGCATCAAGACGAAAAATTAATAAAAATATATATATATATATATATATATATATATATATAATATACCGAAAATAAAAAAAACACACTTTTAAAAAAAAAATTTAATATGAATTTTTTTTGTAATTAAGTGCTCACAAAGAGATCGGAAAGTAAAACAAGTAATATAACAAATAATTTTTATGTCAATTTCTACGTAGATCAACAAAGAAAATTTTTATTTTAGTTACTTTTTGTCAAATAATTACAATTAATATTAATATGTTTATTCATATAACGTCAAAATGGAAAGCTATTTTCCCTGCAATTCTCCATTTTCCTTTCTATATAAGGGGTCGGACTATTTTTTTTTGTTACTATTTATTCACAAGTTTAAAATTAATTATTCCAATAAAATAGAATAGTAAAAAGAAATTACATTCTCAGAAATTAGGCCATCCCAGGTGAAATTCGACCGCACAACCTTTGGATAAGAAGTCCAACGCCCCCTATCCATTGCGCTACAGGGATACAACAAGCGATTTTCCTTTTTATATATAGTATTAGACTATTATTTTTGTTTGTTACTATTTATTCATTAATTATTCAAATATTAACGAATTAATATTTGAAAAATCTGTATAAACACCAAATGTCCTTCACTACAAGCTTTAAAAAATGTGTTTGAATTTGAGTGGATGAATGAAAAGTATTTTACTAACGATTGAAAATTTGAACAAGTTACATATAAGGTAATTCGGAGGAAGATGCCAGTTAGTTAATATTACTTTTATGCGTTGATGGATGACAATTTTGTGCCACTTGTACGAAGAGTCTGGACCGAGATTGAGATTGGCTTGTGAATTTATCTGAATGAATCGGCTTTATTTTTCGATCTTTTAAACGTTTAAAGTGGGGTTACATCTTTTATAATATATGTTCTGTTTCTTATATTTTAAGTCTATGTACTTGTTATTTTTAATAAGATATTAGCAGTATAAGTGAGTTACGCATAATGTTACATATACGATGCATGTACAAACGGCCATAACACTGCAGTAATAAGAAAATAAGCGTCTGTGGCATTTGTCCCCTATACTTGGGGAAGATGCCACATGGGTAAGAAATAAATGAAATGAACTTTAAATTTTTTTTAATTTTATAACACTGTATATTATTGCATAAAATATAACTGCAATTAATAATTAGGCTGTGAGGATAACACAGGGGATCCATAGGATGAGGATGTGCAGGGCTGAAGTCGACTACTACTTCAGCCAGTTGTAGACCGTTCTGCAGAAAAATTCGTTTTTTGCAAACTAATTATAAAAGGATTTAATTTTTTTTCTATAGTTATTGTTATTTCGCATTTAATTTGGTAATGTACTTACTCCATGACACTATAGGGGAAGAGAGAGAGAGAGATGCCACAATTAAATAAATTATACGTATCCAATTAGATATTGAAAAACAAGTTATATTTTTTTCATGGTCTTGTCACTTCAATTTTCAATGTACTATTTGAAAAATCCTTAAATGTGGTGTCCTTCCCCCATTTACCTTATATATGTTTATATAAATATATATTTATAGGGAGATATGAACTTCTAGCAGGAATTGAATTAATTCGACTTGATAATATTCCTGTAACCTATTTTTCTACGAATAAACTTTCCTTCAAAAAAAAAAAAAAAGAAAGAAAAAAAGAAAAAGGGTGCCCTTAAGATTAAGACACCTCTTAAGGAAATGGGCGAAGCGTCGATTTGAGAAAAACGTTCCCCAACTCATCGAACTTTAGGCTACTTGATATATTTATTGAAAAGGAAGAGGCAAATTTCCCCTTTAGCTGCGAGAGGAGAGACCATAATTATAACATTGCAACCGGCGAATACTAAAGTCCAATCACGTAGGCTCCCGAGATCTGCCAATCGGTTTCTTTTTTTGGGCGGAAGAAATTTAAAAACTCAGGATGAGGAACGTGCACACCACATTTTTAAGGTTGACAATTTTCACGAACACACCCTACTAAGCGCGATCAGTTTTATTTATGTTTCGCCATCTCTTCCCTTTCCTTTTTTTTTTATTTTATTTTATTTCTCCGCTTATTTATTTAATTTTTACTTGTTTATTTATTTGGCGAATGTTCCTTCTTGTCCCCAAAGTTCAGAAAGAAGCCGAATTCTAAAAAAAAAAAAAAAAATATAAAGAAAGTATTAGGGAACCCAACGAATGGTTGTATAAAAGTAAAATAATAACGAAGAATGATTTTTTTTTCCTTTTTTTACTTTTCTGTTAATGATTTATAGTTCTTGGTTGGTGGTTACCGCCTTAGCGTACCTCCCAGATTTACTATTTATTTCTTTATTTCGGTCTTTTTTTTAGGCTTGTTGTTATTCCGATTCCTTTTTTTTTTTTTTTTTTTGGTTAATTTTACTTCGTGACGCGATGGTTTTATGCGTTAAATAGGCGTCAAAATTTGCGAAGATTTTTTTTTTATCTGGTTTGCATTTTTCCTGTAGGTGTACTAATTGGTTGAAGATGAAAAGATATGTCTTTTTTTTTTCTTTTTACGGCAGCGCTTTTGTGGTTGTTTCATATTTTCTTACTCAACTTTTTAATGTGAGAAAAAATCTCAAAACCATGTTTTTGAGTCAAAAATTGGGTGAAAAAATAATTGTAGTTTATAGAAAATATGCTTTTTAACTTCCTAATAAAATTTTAAAGATATTCATCTAAATAAAAATGAGATTCATTTGCAGATACGAGAAGGTACATAGTTCCTATAATATTTTTAAAGCATCGAATGTAATCAATGTTATGAAAAGAAAAAATCTTAAAATTCCGAACATTTCTTCCATGGTTTATATTTTTAAAAACATTTCTAATTAGAAATGTTCTTTTTTTTATCTCTCTGATTTCAGTTCTCATTATTTCAAACTTGAATTGATTGAATATGTATTTTTTCCTTGTCTTTTCTATGGTCAAGTTACTCTCTTTCTCTACATAAATAAATTTAATTAATGTTATTAATGTTTAATTAATGTTAATTAATGTTTCTCATAATTCTTTCGATTTTGAAATACCCTTTTCAAAGCATTTTCTAAAACGAAGTAATGCGTAAAGAAATAAATTAATGTACAATAATCAATAATTTTCTCAGTTTTTTAAAGAAAATTTTTGATTTTCCGATTGTTATATACTACCATTTCTAAAACATGATATTTTTCTATTGTTTTCAGTAAAGAATAAAATTTGTTAAATACAATAATTCCATAAGCATTAAATAACAGAGAACAAGAACAGAGGATTTTTTCATGAAATATTACACTTACCAACACATTAAGACAAATAAGTCAAATCTTGGTACTGTTTAATCACTTTCTGTCATATTATGTCAAAAAATAAGCATATTTTTGTAAATAATTTTAGAAGAAATCAGTTATGTGATAATCCCCCATAGGGTGATTATCTCTATGAGTATCAGCGTGAGCTAGAGGCGTAGAATTAACGAAAGAACTAGAAGGAAACATTATCTTAATATGATTTTCTTAAGATATTCAGCTTAAACCTTTAACAAATTAGATTATAATAATTTGTGTGAGAGAATCTACGATGGTAAAACACACAAAACACACAATATATTTATAATAACGACTTAACCTAACTTGGACCACTATCAATAACTGAATCGCTTACACTCAATTCTAATACAATCACTGATCCTAATATTAAATAATCAATCCTAACTTGCTGTAGTATCAGTAAACGATCACACTAGATTTAGATGAAGTCTTACGATACTTCGTGTGCAATGGTATGCACCTTGATTACTGGATCTCTATCACGTATAATTACTATTGTTCGTCCTGTAACGTTATTTAAAACTTCTTCAATCTAGAACCACGGAGTGTTTTTACATTCCTCTAATTGCCATCACTTGCCACAAATTACCATCACTTGCCACAAAATTGCCATCACGCTTACTCTAACTTCTGATATTTAAAAGGTTCTTAATTTGCATCTTTCTTTCACACTTCACTTCTTGGATTTGGTTGGAAAAGAGTTGCCATTAATTCTGGCCTCAAAGAACCTGCAACCAAGCGCAAAATTGACATTGACGTTAATATTCCTAAATCGTTTTACAAGAAGATCACGAATGAAAGAATGATGAAGTCTTGGAACCAAGAATATTTCATTTCAAATAAGGGAGCATAACAAAGAAATTTTTTCCCACCATTAATAAGAGACTATCATGTCATCATTTTTACACTAACTACAAATTAACCCAATTTCTCACTGGTCACGGTAATTTCAAAAGCTACCTGAACAAATTTAATTTAGCTCCTTCATCTTTCTGTGACTGTAATATTGGTGGCGAGGAAAATGTAGAACATGTGATCCTTCTGTGTTCCAAGTATGTCAGAGAGAGAAAGATCATAAGACTGGCGTTCAAGAGACTCAACATTAATTGGCCACCGAATTTTCACCAATTTCTTTCCACCAGAAGCGCTTTCAATAATTTCTGTAAATTTGTTGTAACTGTTTGTAATCCTTCTTAACTTCTTTTTTTTTAATTGTTTATTTCCCTTGAATGTGTGTTTAATACTTACTTCTGTAAGCCCCGTGTGATACTTTGTGGTGCACGGGGATTTTATAATTGTTTTCAATAAAAAAAAAAGAACCTAAAGGACATTTTAAAGAAAAGACACGTGATCCCGTCACAAGTAAAAAAAACCTAACCTTGAAACCGATTTAGACATTTTTTGTAATCCTAACTTTACTCGACTATTAGAGACATCTGCTAGAAACATTGCACACTAAACGAACAAAAAGTCCACGTAAATCAGAGGATCAGAGTAAAAAAAAGTGTTGCCCGAGCGCCGCTCGGGCAAAACAGGGAAGTGGTTAAATAATTAAAAACATAGAAATATAACGAAGAGGCATGTTGAGTCGTGGATTCAGGTCCTGGGGCTATTTTTCGTTTTATAGAGTTTTATAGAGCGCTCAGAGAAGTTCAATCGATCGAGGCACAATGCCATCACATTAACGTAGTGTTGAAATTTTAAGAAAAGAGGTACGATCTTGGGTTTTCATTTTCCTCCCTTGGATCAAAATTACGAGGTCTGTCACCAATAACTCTCGTACAGCTATTAAGTGTAACGTTAATTAACAATTAATTAATATAAATTTGATATTTATATTTATGCAACATATGTTATTGTTGATATAAATTACAGAATAAAAATGATTCTGTACATAACTTTAAAATATGTCCCTTTTTAACATCATTCATTTTAAACCGGCTTTTCAGAGAAGTGCACTTAATGTTCAGAGTTCGAATTTAACCTATGAGGCACGACTTAAGTTTATTTTCTACTAAAGTTGATTAAGGTATCCGACTACGTTCGGAACCGTGATTTAAAAAAACGCATAAATGGATAATTTTCATGATATTTAGTACCACTCAGATTAGAATACCTGCATAAAATTGTTTTAAGGACATTTTGACAAAAAAAAAATATTTAAATATA